CTCCCTCTCTCTCTCTCTCTCTCTCTCTCCAAATCTGAAGCAGACAGGTCAGCTCGACTATATTGCAGAAGCAGTTGCTGTACTTTCTAAGTGACTTCCAAATTCTGACAATATTGATATAAACACAAACGCTGTGTGTTTGGTGTGTGTGTGGTGTTGAGGCAAGGACTCTAACACTGATTCTCACTATGTCACAGGCCTTGAACTAGTTATTATCCTGCCTCAGCTTCTGGAACAGCTATAATTGCAGCCAATTAAGATTCTCTTTTAAAAATGTATTTGCTTATCTATTCACTTACTTTTTACTGGTTATTGTGTATGTAAGAGAAAGACAAAGAGGGGGTGAGAAGGAGAGAGAAAGAGACAGACAAAGGACAGACAGAGATAGAGTTTGTGATAACTGTGGAGATCAGAAAAGGCTTGGGGGGACTGCAAAGTATGCGTAGGCATATTCTCGTTCTTAGACACAAACGACAAGATCTGAACTATCCACCTTCGCCAAATAATTCACTTAACTTTTTGCTTTTCATTTGGTTAGAAGATGGTAGTTTTCTTTTCTCTAAACTGTGAAATTTATCTGGTCTTATGTATTTAGTCAATCTAAAGACAACGTGTATAACAGTTCTTAAGATACATGGTATACTTTGAGTTTTTCCCAAATTAAAAAAAAAGGAACAAAAATTCACAATGCCAAAACAACCTTATAGGATGCCACTTCAATTAAAGCAGATAGGAGCTGGAGAGAGGGATCAGAGGTTTGAGTGCACTTATTGCTTTTGCAAAGGACTGAAGTTCAGTTCCCAGCATCCACACGGTGGTCCACAACCATCCTGAACTCCAGCTAGAGGAAATCTGATGACCTCCTCTGACCGCCAAGATTACCATGTACACATAGTACACATGCACACAAAATAAACAAACTAAAAAATATTCTAAGCAAATAGTTTTCTTGGAAGTTTTGAGAGGATAAATGAATTGGAACACTTAATTTAAATCTCACCTTAAACAACACAGTACTACAATAATGTGCAAGGTCAGTGAGGCTTGGACCTCATCCCCTTAGACAGCTCTGCTATTTACTAAATCTATGACCTGTGCAAATTACTTACCCAATCTTACTGCCAAATCCTATTTGTAATATGAAGATAATCCCCACTTGAAGATCTTTAAAACAATCGTATGCTGTGTATAGTTCATATTGTGGGTATGTCTAACTCCTGGTTCTGGGTCCAAGTGTTAATTTCTCATTCATAAATGAACAACAATACAGAGACTTATGGAATTGGCTGGTTTCTGAAGAACACCATACGAGACCAACAAGATAACAAGTGAGTTCTCTTACACGCTTGCTTCTTTTGTTATCTGTGGGTGATACTTGTATACGAATTCAGGATTTCCACATCACAAGAAATAAGACCACTGGGTCCATGGCTATGAAGCATAAGCCCTGTTTTTAACTCCCAAAGACAGGTTACCACAAGCAGGTACAGCCATAGAAGCATGCACTCAACATCATTTCAACAGCCAAGGAACCACTTGTTTTGTTTTTTTTTTTTTTGCATTTTTTTTTTAAAGAATATAGTCTCTTTTACGATACAAGAAAATACAACATCCCATTATCCTCTAAAGCAAGTTAGAAAAATAGAGGAACATTTCTTCTAAAACTCAATAATCAGTTGTCGAAGTGCTACTATGTTTTTAGAAAAACGTTGTGTGGGCAGACACATCCCTATTTTGTTCCTAACCTAAACAAGTAAACATTTCAACTCCTCATCAGGATAGCTGATAATATGATTGTGCATAGGGGATTAGCATACATAGGGGGATGCTGATGGCAAAGGAATCCACTTAAAGGGACTCCGCAACACAGTGGCAAGTCAGTCTACTCACCCAGAAGCAACCAGGGCTTAATAACGCCAACCTGCAGGTCCAAGGTAAGGTCCTGCACATAGCCACAACCACCCCCACCGCTGGGCTCTGTTTCCACAACATGAATTGTGGCATCTTTCCAGGTTTCTATAAGTTTCTTTCCAGTTAGCGTGGTCACCCTGGTGCACTGCTTCCTGAGATTATCCCGGGAGAATGCTTTGATTTCTTGGTTCAGGGAGTGCATTACATGAGCGGAGGAGGAAAAGCAGCAAGAACAAAAACGCACTGCACTCACTGTTCTCAGTCACTAGTCACTTAAAGGAGCTGGCCCCCCTGCAGTGACAACCCTCACCTCTTAGAAGAGAACGGCCCAGGCTCACTCTCTCGAGTACCGTTGTAAGGCAAGAGCTGATTGGCCGCTAAGAAACGGGCGCCGATTGGATGCTGTTTCTGCTCCTCTGACGGAAGTTGTGTGTCTTCCGGATCCATTCAGCTGCTTTTTACCGGGGCGTGTCTTCACTCTTAGTTTATAATCCTCATTTATTTTGGGCCCGGGGGCATATTTATTTCTAAGACTCATTTGGAGAGAGCTGATCTCTCGTAGCTTTCCAAGGGCAGTGATTTTTTTTCTGGAAATGTTCGATTAGTTACGGAGATGACAGTGAAGACAGCAGCTGACCCCACGGCCGTTTCCCACCCTGGTGTGAGTCTCCTGTGGCTCTTAGAGGCCAGGGGCTGCTCCTCACTTCCTCTGCCCTCACTTTTTTCTCTCTGCTGTTACTCCTAGAAGAAACATTGACTAGATAAAAACCACTGAGTCTGTTAGTGAGACTCCAACGGAATAGAATCTACATAAAGTCGTTTTAAGTATACGTTTCTACAGACTAGCAAGGGTTAAAATTTATGTATATTCTGACTTTTCCACGCCTTATACAGATAGAATGGTAGTAATTCTATACGTAGTTGAGAGAAGCATAAATATTTTCCAAACAGATGAATAGAATGCCAATTCTGCCTGCAAAAACAATTGATTTTCGCAAACGGGAACTGCACTATTTCTTCAACTGAAATTTTCCCTTATTAACCCTTACTAAAATGCAACTTTAAAATAATTTAAGTACAATGTATAACGTTTTAAGATTTAGAAAAAATATATTCTTCAGCACTGCGTACAAACGTTTTGTTGCTTTCAAAACTTTCTGACATTAAAGTAAGTTTATGGGCTGAATTTTTGTGCCCCTTCAAAATGAGTTGGAATTATGAGCCCAAGTGTTCAGATATTTGGAGATAGGACCTCTAGGGGATAATTAGCATTATATTAAAACATATGGCAAGATTAATGGCTTCATGAAAACGAAGGAGAACTCTTTTTCCCTTACTGATGAAGTACTCTTCTTAATACTAGATGAAGCAGGACTAAGGAAGGAAGTTGGGAGAAGTGGATATCAAGGAAGAGGAACAAACACACCAGGAGCCTTGCGTAGGCCCACACCTTGATTTTGAACTTCTAGGCCTCCAAACCACAGGAAGTAAATTTCTCTTGCTTAAGCTACACAGTTTATAGTTTTTTTTATAGTTATGGACACCTGAGATATGAACTAAAGTTTTTCTCCTTCAAATGGAGTTATCTGCCCACAATACCTACTGGGAATTCCAAAGTGAACTGTAGATTGTTTGCTTTAGTTGGCCACAGGTTCCTTAGAAACAACTCATCAATCCATGTATCTATCAACAATGAGCACTTACTGAATGCCCAGCACTCTGTTAACAACTTTTGCACTCTTAATGATATGCACTCAGCATATAACAATACTTTAGATATTATGTCATTTTACTTTACCACAAACTATATATACACACACACACTAGTGATTAACTCTGAGTAACCAATAATGTATTAGTGTCATATTAAAAAGAGAAATAATCACACCTCTGCCGGGTTTGAGGCGCAGGCACAGTCACGTGGCAGACTCCAGCCAATCAACAAGCTTCTCGCGGTATCTCTCGTAACTCAGTTTGGTCTTGAGCCCAGTAAGTAGCAAAGGATGACTTCCTGACCTCCTGACCTCCTGACCTTCTGACCTTCTGTCCTCCTGCCTCTGCTTGAATGCTGGGGTTAGAGGCCCTCCATCCAAGAATTTGTAGACTTTTCCTGCTAAGACCTCAATTTGTATTTTTGAAGAACAGAAAATTCTGTGAAGTGTTGAAATAATTTAAACCATCTAAGACCAAGCCATACATAATGAAACAATGCATACTATTTGTATAAAAAAAAGGACATGTCTTCATAGTCAACTTTAAAATATCAGGATCTGAAGTGGTTGAGAATGTCTCTGCCAAGTCGACAAACAGCTATTGTTAACCCCCCTCCACCAGAGTACATAAACACTAAGAAAAACGGGCGCCTGACGAATCAGCTGCAGTTCCTCCAGAGAGTGGTCCTGAAGGCTCTGTGGAACCACAGCTTCTCCTGGCCTTTTCAACAGCCCGTGGTTGCCATGAAACTCAAGCTGCCCGTCAGAGGACAGCGGTCGACTTTCAGGACTTGGTTATGCCTTCCACCTTACTGTCTGCTGCTGGACTGCACCCCAGGAGAGCTGGCTTTCTCTGCCTCCCACCTCACATGGGAGCACTGAGATTACAGATGTGTACCACCACATCTGGTTTTTTATGTGGTTCAGGGGATACGGCTCAAGCCATCAAGCTTGTATAGCTCATGCTTCTACCAACTGAGCCATCTCCCTGATCCACAGTCTGTTAACTTCATTGTTTATCTGCTTGGGTAGTTTACATGTCAATTTTAAAGAGAAAATCTTACAACTATAAGAAAAATGAGTTGGGGATGGAGAGACAGTTCAGCATTAAGAGCAAGGGTGCTCTCCCAGAGGACGTGGATTCGATTCCTGTCACCCATATGGTGGCATACACTGTAACTCAGTTCCAGAGATCCAATGGGACCTGATGGAGATCCAGTGGGAATGTCAGGGATCCAGTACCCTCTCTGGCCTAGATAGGCACCAGGCACACATACACTCCACTGATTTACATGAAGGCAAAGCATTCATACATATAAAAATGTTTAACTTACTAATATTGCAAAACATACATAATTATATATTCGATTAGTCAGGACCCCTGAAGACTGCTCTAAGTGTTCTCTCCTTCCCCCAGTCCCAAAATCAAACTTAATGATATGAATGTGATATTCTCATTTTACAGTTCAAGATGAATTGTATACATTTTCTTGTTATAACATGCCATGGCAGCCTTCTGATGAAGAACAATGGCCCCATTTACCTCCTCTGTGAAGGCTTTTTGTGTCATGCATCCCATTCAACTTTAGGTCTCACTTGAGTTTTAATCATGTAGTAACAGAATGATGTATGACAGAGAGTGAATCAGGGAACTGGGATTTTCCCCTGAGTCTGTCAGGTTCCATAAATCCCCCTCCTCATCCCTTTCCTTTTGTATTTTTTCAAAAATAAATAATTTAAAATCTTAAAAAAATAAAAAGAGAAATAAGCTAGGCAGTGGTGGCACATATCTTTAATCCCAGCACTAGGGAGGCAGAGGCAGAGGCAGGTGGATCTCTATAGTTCCAGAACAGCCAGGGCTACACAGAAAAACCCTGTCTCAAAAAACAAAACCAAAAAGAAAATCACTTCCCTTTAGGGTCATTGAACCAAAAGTGAGTCCAGATTTGAAATGTACATCATACTCTCTTCGCCTTTCTTTCTCTGTCTGTTGTATGAGTCTGAATCTGTGCTTGCCTGGAGGCTGTCTTGTGACTCTGTCCCTGTCCCTGTCCCTGTATTTGTTCCAGTATCTGTGAATCTATACTTGTACCTGAGTCTGTATCTGTGTCTGTGTCTATGACTGTTCCTGTGTGCTTATCTGTTGTCTGTGTCTATGTGTTCAATCTGTGTGTGTGTCTGTATCTTTTTAAGCAGCACTGAAAGCATCACATAGAGAAGGAATGATATACTTCATAGAAATCTTTAACAGAGGTTTACAAGTGATTCAGTCATTGGCTCCAACCGACCCAGACAGTACTACAAATATTGTTTATCAGTCAATATCCAAACGCATTTTCAACATTTATGGTGGATATTCATCTTTAGAAGATTGCTTTCAATCTCTGTATTTGCTGCTTTCAGCAAATGATACACATTATTATGGGTCAGGAGCATAGAATAATATTACATTTTAATTAATAATTACATAATTTTAGATTACAGATATACATTACTTTAGGTTTTTAAAGGTGATTACCTGGGGCATCTCAGGCAAGTAAGGTTGATTGTCACATTGTTTTATTTTTCTTCGTTTTATTTTGTTTTCTTTGTTTTGTTTTGTCTTGCCACACAGGGTTTCCCTGTGCATCCCTGGCTGTCTTGGAACTTGCTTTTCAACCCAGAATGGCTTCAAACTCAGATCCTCCTGCTTCTGCCTCTGCCTCTCTGCCTCTCTGCCTCTCTGCCTCTCTGCCTCTCTGTTTCTCCTCTGCCTCTCTGGCTCTCCTCTGCCTCTCTGCCTCTGCCTCAGTGGGGGGATTAAAGGTATGTATATGCTAGCACTGCCAGCATTACATTGTTTTCTTTAAAGTAGTTTAAACAGGCTGTACACATATCATACAGTAAGCTGTCTTAAGTCTTAAGTGACCTCAGTGTGTGTTATTCACTGGCTGTGAGGGCCAAGAAAAGACCCAGTCTCTTAGAATGTAAGGATATTTTATCATAATGTGTGTGTGTGTGTGTGTGTGTGTGTGTGTGTGTGTGTGTGTGTGTGTGTGTTTATTTAAATGCTAAACAAGATGATGAAAGATATTCACTACTGCTGGTTGGTAAGAGAAGGCCCGTTCAATAAAATAGATCTTGAAATAGACTTGAGTAACATGCAGAAGCCACCCTTAGAAATATCTGGGTAAAAGATCAGAGTCAATGTCTAAAATACACTTAATGTCTGTGCCACATGATTCAGCTAGTGTCCAGACAGGAGAATACTGAGAAGTAGGAGAAGTGGGTGTGGAGACTCAAGACAAGGCCAGGAGGCTAATATTTAAAAAAGGGGGAGGGGGTTTGAAGGAAATACAGACTGAGAAATGGTAAGAGCTTTAGGCCAAATTCTGACCAAAACCAATAGTGTGATGGGCCCAGAGCTGTGTTAGTCAGAAGACTCTTGAGCATATGCCTGTTATTTCTACTGCTCTGAAAATTATTGATCAACAAAGGGACAATTTCTTCAAGGTCTTCCTCCTCTTCAGATGGCTACTATCTGAGGTGACACCCCTCACAGAGTAGATGCTGTCCATGAATGATTGATGTGGAAACCTAGAAACCTGGTTATCTTAGCCTAACTAGGTACAATTCT